GTGTCGAGTTAGGGGCATCAGAATCTGTTAAGAATGAAAAATTGGGGCCTAAGGTCTTGCTTCCACAAGGCTCTGCCAGAGAGTAGAATGTGGGCTCTTACCATGCTCACACTACCAACATCCCTTTCCTTCCCAGTTTTGGGCAACTTCTTTTCTTTTCCTTACTACTCTCTTTTCCTTGCCCTTCAGGGACAGTTATCATAAACACCTTAATGAATTTAGGCCAGAGTACTAACTGGTGGCTGGCAGAAGTGTTTGGTTTTGTCTCACACAGCGCTGGTTTTGTTTGTTTTGAACTGAAACTAGTTTCCAGCATTTAAAAATTAGATGAGTTCGCATACAAATTTATAATTCTAGCTTCTCATGAAAATTTGGAGAATCTGGCATTTACTAGAAGGCCACAATCATCTGGAGCAGAGAAGGGCACAGAGCAGGGCTGGAGCAGGGAAGGTCTGCCCTTTAAGACAGCAATGGTACTTCCACTCAGGCCCTGACCAGCCCACTCCACAGCTTTACAGCACCTGCCTAACCTGAAGAAGTATTTGACTTTGAGATCATCTGCCATGATCTTTCAAAAGGCTAGGGAGAGGGACTATGTTGGGGACATCAAACTTGGTAAAGTAGAGAGTCATCGAAAAAGAGGAAGACCCTCAGCGAGATGGATTGACACAAGGGCTTCAACAATGAGCTCAAGCATAACAACCATTGTGAGGATGACGCAGGACCGGGCGGTGTTTCGTGCTGTAGTACACAGGGTCACTATGAGTTGGAACCAACTCGGCGGCACCTAACAACAACAACAAGGCCGTAAATAGAGATCAAGGTGAGGGAGTATAAATGATCTGGTTACCTTTGCAGAAAGGAAACATACCACAAAATCCTACTACAATAAATTATCCCTTTATACTAACAATAACAAAAAAATTTTACTATATAAAAGTTTCTTAGTTCATTTTACTGATTAGTCATATTTTTCATGACCTAAGATTATTTTCTGGCATGCAGTAATGATTTGTAATCTAGGTTTTAAGCCCCACTGGGTATCCTAATAGCTACCTCATACAGAGATTTCATGATTTCATGCCATTTAATCCTCATAAAAATTTGTGTGAGATAGGGGCTATTTACCTGTTTTACAGATAGGAATACTGAGGCTCAGAGTCACAAAGAACCCAGGTGTGTATGACTCTTTGCTACTGGGTTACATTGCCTTTCCTATGACAGATCATAGTAGCCAATCTTCATGATATCAGATGTTGGATTAAAGAAGTCAAGTCATCTTGGCACTATTGACAAGTACTAGTTACTACCTACCTACTTACCTACACACACACACACACACACACACACACACTTTCCAGTGGAGGCTATTTTCTAAGTATCTCTTGAAGTCAGGATATGGCATCATGCTTTAACAAGTAGCAGTTATTCAATAGATATGCTGATTTTGTTTGTCTTGGGAGCTTGCCTTAAATTTTACTAAGTATGTGTATGTGTACATAGATTTAAATATGTGTGGGAGGGGTGGGGGACTGCATGTGTGAAGAGGGGACATGAAGACAGAAGGAGCTGAGGAAGGAGAATACAGCTCATGATACCTCCTGTGGTGGACCACAGAAGTTGTTGAAAAGATAAAAAATAAGAGAAATCCTACAAAGTAGAGTATTTTTCAAAAATGTTAAATAGCTACAGAAAAAGGAAGGCTTAAGATGAGTAAAATTGCTTTGTTTTGTTCTATTTTTCCTTTCTTTTCATAAACATTCACAGAAATAGAAAGTTACCTAATATGATTAACTATTATGTTGACAAATTTAATGAATTGAGAGTAAAGTCTTTAATCCAACTTGTTATTTTGAATTTGCATGCTTATAGTGTAATGAATTTCACATTATCTAATAGACAAAAATTACATGTTATTAGCATTTATTTTGAAATAATTGATACTTCATAAACGTATAACAAAAATTTCTCTCTTGAATTTAAGCTAAAATGTGATGATTTATGCTAGAACTAAAGTTACTATTGTTTAATATCACTTATTAAAAGAAATTAAATTGTAAAATAACAGATAAGGAGACTATAGATGTTGTAATTGTAATTTAATTTCTAGATGGGAAATTTCATGTCATTAATTTGTACAATGTGTAGAGAATGCCATGCCAACTAATTTGATGACTTTCTAGTAGCTCTGGTGAGGTTATTTTAGAAGTGATAATTTTTTTTGAGGGGGAAAAACTAAAGGAAACTATGTGAGAATTTTACTATATAAAAAAAGTTTCTTAGTTAATTTTACTGATTGGTCATATTTTTCATGACCTGAGATTATTCTCTGGCATGCAGTAATGATTTGTAATCTAGGTTTTAAGCCCCACTGGATATCCTAAAGAAAAACAACAAGACGTATTGAAGGGCAGTTTCTAGTTCTTTTATAGCTACTACTTAAACTCTGAGACTGTCTATATAAGAAGATAACAACTAAATGGCATTTACTACATTTAAGTTCTGAACTAAGGAATTATGTATACTAACTATCATTTTATAGCTAAAACTGAGTCTCAAAGAGAAAAAGTGATTTGCCTAAGGTCACCCAGCATGTAAATGGCAGAGGCAGGTCCCAAACCCTGACCTCCTGAGATAGTCTTTCCATTTTGGAGACTTGCTGTCACTGCTTTGGACGCCCTTTGCCTAGTTTAATGCTAGTTTTATGCTAAGTAATGTTTTATCCCACTAATAACATGGTATTTTACTTTTTGTTATTGGTTTATTTGCTACTCTTCTTGGAGTATTGTTAATCTGGACGCATTTACTAGACCTCTCAGCAGAGGATATTTTAAATGACAACATTTGGTATTGCATCATCAAAATTCAGACTGTTGTAAACTCTACAGGATAAATGACAAGTTTCTTCAATAAAGAATCTCAAGGGAAAAAAAGTGGGAGCAGGTACCTATTGTTTAAAAGAGGCATGAGACGTACTACCAAATGGATTGTTTTAAATTTGTTCGGGCCCTGATTCAGACAAATCACTGAAAAAAAATTGTAAGACAATCAGGAAAATCTGAACAGTGTATATTTAATGATACTAAGGAATTGTTGTTAAGTTTTAGATACAATAATGAAATTGTGGTTGAATAAATATTTTTTTAAAAGTCTATCTTTTAGAGATACATATTGAAAGAGATGAATTGATATGACATCAAGGATTTCCTTCAAAATAATACATTTGGGGATGGGGTGAGGTGGGGTATACAGATGAAGATAACTGGTCTTGAGATGATAATTAATTGTTGAAACTTGGTTTTGGATACATGTTGTTCATTACTCTCTTCTGTCTACCCTGAGTGCGTTTGACATACTTCACAAAAGAATATATTGTTCAAAGATGAACCCAAAGTAGATCTTTATTTGATTTGATATTGAATAACGTTTCACTTCAGGAAAGCCTCTGAAAGAGCCTTAAAGGGCCTTAAGGAGTCCTGGTGGCGCAGTGGTTTAAGCCATCCACTGCTAACTCAGAGGTCCTCGGGCGGTTGGAAATGAGCGGCTTCTCGGGAGAAAGACGTGGCAGTCTGCAGTGGGCTTCCATAGAGATTCACAGCTTTGGAAACCCTAGGGGGTCGTTATTAGAATCAACGAGAAGACAGTGGGTTGGAATGGGAAAAGGCTTTAAGAAGTAACCTAGTCCAATCTTCACACCTTCCCCTTTTCTTTTGGATTAGACACAAAAGCAAACAAACATCCGAGGGCCAGAGAGGAATACGTGATTTGCTCTCAAAGCAACAACTTCTAAGTTTAGAGAACAAGAAAACAGTGGGAGAGGTTAGACCTATGCCCACTTCCTCGTGCTATCTCATTTCTGCTGCTGTATTTCCCCCCTGCCGTATATTACTATGATTTGCTTTTGTTTTTCAAAGCAGAATTATTACAAAATTTAACATAAAAAAGTCCACACTGACTCCCTATTTTCCCCCCAACCCCGTCCAGTTTCAAGCTAGATTTCTAATCTTTCCTAAAATAACGCCTGCAGTATGGATGCAAAGATAAAAATGTCAGTTGACAGCATCTAGTCATCCTGCTTAAGTTTCAAGTTAAGTTTGCTAAATAGTATGTGGTCAGCGGGTATACCTTTAATTTTCCTGCCCACGTGACAATGTTTTGTTTTTATGGTAATTTCTAATGCACAGGAAATTCTGAGATTGCGTCGGCGCGAACAGATACAGTAATTACCGTATTGACACTACTGGTTTTCAAAGCGCAGAAACTTAAGGGAGCGCAAGAGAACAATTTGGGGATCTTCGAGTCAGATTTGTCATTATTTTTCTGTGACTTAATCTTTTAAATAGTGTTGATATTGGGGACCTGAACAGTGCTAGAGTTTTTTTTTTTTTTTTTTTTAATTCTCACTGATATATTTATCAGATTGTGTCTGGAGCATAAAGCAGAGAATACGCTACATAAACACTCCGTAGATGGTGTTACCTGCCTTCGGAAGTGTTTACAGCAGCACTGCGCCTGCGCAGCTGGTAACCCCGCCCCCCCCACCCACAGTCGTCTGCATTTCCCTGTCTCGCTAGCAGGTGGCGCTGTGAGGTAATGAACAATAATAGTTCCCAGGGATCTGGAACTGTGCGTAAAAGGGCGGCCCGTAAAGCGGGCTGAGGGGCATTCTATCCTGAACTGCCCTGGTCTCTATCACCCTTTGTCCTCCAACCTCCCGCGGGCGCTGGGCTTGCGGGCCTGGTTGCTAGGCGGAAGCGTGGTGGCGGCGGAGGCCGCGGCGGCTGCCCGGGCGTTTGAAAAGCCGCTACGCAGGCGGCAAAAGGTCCTCAGGTGGCGGGCTGTCCTCCACCTGCCTACAGGCCCGGCGGCGGAGTAGCTTTTGCCTTGGGTTGGGGCCGGGTTAAGGGCTGAGCTGGCGGCCCCCGGCAGGGGAGCCGGGCGTGCTGCAGGCGGCAGCGGGATCGGGCCGCGGAGCAGGGCCAGGGCGTCTGGGGCCCGGGGCGGGCGGGCGGCGGGGCCGCTGCCAGGAGCTCCGCCTGGGGCCCTGGGCTTCCCGAGACTCATCCGGGCCCCTCTCCCCCAAGCAGACCCCGCCTGTGGGCCGGAGACATCGACCATGGTCTCCAAGTCTGACCAATTGCTCATCGTTGTGTCCATACTAGAAGGTGAGCGGCCCTGTGCTTGCTTTTGCAACTGCTGTTTCCAGAATTTTAAGAATAGCGTGGAACCGAGGTTTTGTTAACCTTAAAAACCCTGTCATCTTTTCTTTTGTGATTCCCAAAGACTTGTTCCAAGTTGTACGAAGTGCGGTCTGTTAGGCAGTTGATTTAAAAATCTGCCAAGGGAGTATGAGAGCTAATAGGGATAGGTGATATTTAACGTGACTAGCCGTACCCCGAGAGAATGTAGAAAAAACGATTTCCATCAGAAGTAGCATGCCAGTGACTTGTAGATGAGCTGAAAGTGTGCCTGGAAAGCACGTTCTCTTCAGCGGCCTCCAGGTAACACCGTTTGTAAGAACTTTGCCTTTGACTTGAATAAATGCTTCTTGTAATTCCAGAAGTATTTCAGAAGCCGTTCGCTTTACACGTCTTAGGGAGGATTTAGATGACTGCACTTGTTACGTAGGTCTGTTCTACATAGTTTGAATTTTTTGTTGTTGTCGAGTGAGTGGCATTTGTTTATTAAAGAACTGAGTGTCAAGCACTATGCTGGGAATATAAGAATAAGAGAGGTCCTGTTTCTGAAAGCTAGCATGTAACATGGAGAATGTGTCAACAATTCATCATGAGGTGGAAGGAGTGGCCACCTCTCTGGGGAAGTTGGGGAAGGTTTACCAGAGGAAATGAAGTTTTAGAAATTTGTTAGGGGAAAAAAGGGCGTTCCAGGCAAAAGGAAGAGCAGAAAGTATTTATGTTCTGGGATAGCTTAAATTCGTTGTGTTTGGAAAGCAGATTGCAGGAAAGTGGAGAGCACTGGGCCTGATAGGTAAATTGAGGAAAGATTATAAATAACATGGTAAGGAGCCATCCTCTTGAGCAAACCAGAGGCATGGCTGCATCTTTTTTTTTTCCAAATAGGAAGGTATTTTGTGGAGACCGAACATTGTTTGGATAAGGTCCCTGGGTGACACAAACGGTTTACACTCTGCTACTAACCTAAAGGTTGGTGGTTTGAACCTACCCAGTGGCACTGCGAAGTAAAGACCCAGTGATTTGCTTCTGTAAAGATTACAACCAAGAAGCCCTTATTGAGAAGTTCTACTCTGTAACATGGGATCTTAAGGCAACAGGGTTTTCTTGTTTGTTGGCATTGTTTGGAGAGAAGGGGAAAGGAACATTGTAAACCCACTTTTTGAGTTTTTGTAAAATTGGAACATAAGACTGACCAGAAGCCATAAAGAGTCAGAGATGGAGCATTTTAACTGTTAGATTGCTGATTGTTTAAAGACATAACGCAAAAATCTCCTTATAGTTTGATTAACAAGCTTTTAAATTAGAACTGTGCCCTAGGCTATGAGGAAACAGAAATATAAGGCACTCTGTCCCCTCAAGGACCTAGAAGAGTCTGTCTACTTGGGGAGATCAAATTAATGTGCAGGAAACCGTATATTGGGTTGTTATATAATACTAAAAGTACGTGATATGGGCCATAAACATAGGTTTTGGGGTGGAGTGGAGATGATGGCTAAAGTGCCTTGTATGATAAATAAACTTTAGATAGGCGAGGATACAAGGAAAGCCATCCTAGGCAACTGGACAACATAGGCCAATGTGGGACTGAGTTATTGGGGTTGGGGTTAGGGTGTCGTGGATCAGTGAAGAGGCCAGCTAGATGACCAGGGTAGAAGAGGGTGACTAGGAGTATCATGGCAAGAAATAAACCTGTATGGCTAGAGTAAGTAAGGAGCCCTGGTGGTACAGTGCTAACCAATGGAAAGATCTGCCATTCGAACCCACCAGCTACTCTGGATGAGAAAGATGTAGCAATCTGTGTAATCTCCATAAAGATTACAGACTTGGAAACCCTATGGGGCAGTTCTACTCTGTCCTATAGGGTCTCTATAAGTCTGAATTGGTTCTACTGTAGCGAGTTTGGTTTTTGTTTTTTGGTTTAGCTAAAGTAAGCCTTGAAAGGATCTTGAAAGCCAGTTCAGTGAGTTTAGACATAATGTGCTGAGGAATAGGGAGGCAACACCTATTCCTAAATTGGGGAGTGTTTTTTCACAAGGTTAGTTTAGCAATGTGCAGACAAGATAACCAGGAGTCAGGGATGTCAGTTAAAGCTTGTTGCCACAAACAAACATCTAAAATTGGCATGTGTTTCTCCTCTGTATTTGTATTTCCATTTATTGTAACCACTCGGTTGCTTTGAACCAAGAACCTGGTAGTCCATACTCGGTTACTTCCCCATCCCCAATTTCCAAATGATCACCAAGTACTGTTGATTTTGTTTTCTAAACAATGAAAACCCATTGCCATAGAGTTGATTCCAACTCATAGCAACCGTTGAGTACAGAGTAGAACTGCCCCATAGGATTTTCAAGGCTGTAAATCTTTATGGAAGCTGACTGCCACATCTTTCTCCATTGGAGCGGCTGGTGGGTTTGAACCTCCGGCCTTTCGGTCTACACCCGAACACTTAACCCGTCTGCCGCCACAGTTCCTTTTCTAAACAACAACAACAACCCCCCCAAAAAAAACAAATCCCCCCAAAAAGAAATCTGTTGCTATAGAGTCAATTCCGACTCATAATGACCCTATATAGTAGGTGCTAAATAAAAACTTTTGTGAGTGCCTTGAGTAGGGACTCTCCTTATCCACCTGATCATTTTAGTAGTCTGTTTTCTCAATGTTTGATTCATGTTTCTTATGAATCATGAAAGTAAATGTATGTATGCTTTTGGGTAGTTAATGGAATGTATGATAAGTCAGCTACTCTTAGCATGTTGATTTTAAAAAACACACACTAAATGATTGTTTGATTTGTATGCACTTCCAATTACTCTGTGTGGTCTTGTTCTGCCAGGTCGTCATTTCCCTAAACGTCCAAAGCATATGCTTGTCGTAGAAGCAAAGTTTGATGGAGAGCAGTTGGCTACTGATCCTGTGGACCATACTGACCAGCCAGAATTTGCTACTGAGTTGGCTTGGGAAATTGACAGGAAAGCACTTCATCAGCACAGGTGACTGTTATTTTGTTTTTTAATTATTTTTTGTTACTGTTGAGAATATACACAGTAGAAACATACACCAGTTCAGGTTTCTGCAAGTACATTTCAGTGACGTTGATTTCATTCTAGTTGTGGAACCATTTTCTCCCTTTTTTTTTTTGAGTTGTATGACTATTATTTTCAATTTAAGCTGGCATCTTTATTATTCTCCTTTTATTTAGGCTGTTATAAATTTGGAGCCATGGTGGTGCAGTGGTTAAGAGCTCAGCTGCTAACCAAAAGGTCAGCAGTTCGAATCCACCAGCCACTCGTTGGAAACCCTATGGGGCAGTTCCACTCTGTCCTGTAGGGTTGCTATAAGTCAGAATCAACTCAATGACAATGGCTTTGGTGTTTTTACGGGTTATAAATTTTTAAGTAAATTTATATTTGTTTTATTATGATATTAATAATAATAGCATTTACTGATTTTTTTTTTAATGTGCCAGGAACTTTTTAAAATACTTTGCATCAATAACTCATTTAAATTTCAGAACAACCCCATAAAGTGGGTATTAGTATTTTCCTCACAGTACAGATGAGGCAACTGAGGCATAAGAGGTTAGGTAACTTGCCCTTAATCACCCAGCTCGCTAGTGGTAGAACTCAGGCAGTCTAGCTCCAGAACCTAATCTGTCTTTTTTTTTTTTTCCCCTGGGACTAATATGTGAGACTGTAGACATTTTAGTACTACTGTAAGTATGTCTACTTAATATTAAACATTGATTGAAATTTGTTGTAATTTCTATTTCAATTTCTGTTGTAATTTCTATTAATTCATTTGTTGTATAATTTACCTGTCTTGCTAAGGATATATAAAGATGTCTAGTGAAAAAATTGTAAAAATTTTATTAGAGATTTTTAAAAATTAATTTTATATTTAATTTTAGACATTTAAACATTTTATTAGTATATCAAACAGGCTTAAAATTATAGCATTTTATTTACTTAAGGAACTCTTGTGGCCAGAAACTGGCAAGAACATTGATAACTTTTTACTTTAAAAAAATTAAAAATGTATTTCCTTCATGGGAAACACATCATCACTTCAATACTTGCGCTTTCTCAGTACTAAAACAAATCAAAATAGAAATTTTTTTGAAAAAATGAAAGCAAGTAGAAATTTATTTTCTTTTATTGCTAGATTAGTTCATGGGTTTATTTGAAGGGGTATTAAATTCTTAGAGAATAGAAGAATTTTATATTTCCTTTCAGTGACGTTTGGAATGTCCCCTTAGAGTAGTGCTGTGAGAGGTTAGTGCCTGCATTTGTGGTTGTGTGTACGGTTGTGCTAGTGCCAAGAGGAACCATTCTGATTGTTGTAGACTAAGAAAATAACACAGGTAAATTGAATATGTAAGTGACGGTTTTGTGCCAGGTGCAGGTGTCATAGTAATTCCCGTAGATAAAAGTGATGGCAGAGTCTAACTGGCTCACTGCGTAAGCCAGTATAGGGGTCCCACACTCAAAAAGAGCCTGTGCTGTATCAGTCAGTATCATGCTTACAAAACATTGTCATCTGTTAACATAAATTACTGTTAAATTTTAATAGTTTTTGGTTTTATAATATTTATCTCCTAAATTTATTTTGGTTTTTATAGTTATAAAAAGTGCTATATGCATATATGTATATTTGTAGTTTTTTATGTTTGTAACAGTATAAGAAAATTTATTTAAAACCAATCCCAAGGATAATTTTTGCTTTTAAAAGGGTTCTATACATTACAGAGGAGCCCTGGTGGTAGAGTGGTTAAGAACTCTGCTGCTAACCAAAAAGTCGGCAGTTCAAATCGACCAGCCCCTCCTTGGAATCTCTGTGGAGCAGTTCTACCCTGTCCTACAGGGTTGCTGTGAGTTGGAATCAACTCAATGGCAACTTTTTTATATATATACGTTACAGAAGTTTGAAAAATATTGACCTACGTGATAGCCTTTTAGGCAAGAGAGGCTAAAATTTTGATTTATGTATTTATTAATGTATAGATAAGTAGATATAATTAATAGTTAATTTTCCAGGTGAAGGTTTTCAGGAAATGTAGAATGAAAATAGCTTATCCAACAGAATTACAATTGATTTGATAGTAGTTGGCACTTGAAAAAAGGCTTATAGAAGACCAATTCAATATTAAACAAAAAACGTTTTATTTATCACATAAATTATGTTACAGGTTACAGCGTACTCCTATCAAACTCCAGTGTTTTGCCTTGGATCCTTTATCTTCAGCCAAGGAAACCATAGGTTACATTGTTCTGGACTTAAGAACTGCTCAAGAAACAAAGCAGGTATTGCCCTTTAAGGCATTTTGTTGAAGATGGTATTAGTTGATTGTTTTCAGGAGATAACAGGTCAATGAATAAAACATGGAGTATTAGACCTGATAGATCATGGGCTTAAGCCAATATGGCAATTCTTGTGTTTATTTTATGAATTTGACTTAGAAAATCCTGACCTTTTAAACATTTCTTTAATCTAGAACTTACCTTTCTCAAAGAAACTTCTAAGTCTAAACCTGTGTCCATATTGCTATTACCGCAAGCTCAACATATTCACCTCCTGAGCTTTCCTTTGAAAGGAAAGGAATATTCCCTTTAACAAATGGTAACCACTCTCCTTCCAGTTATCCAAGTTAGAAATATGGAAGTCTTCCTTGCACCTCCCTTTCCCTGCTTCTGTAGTCACCCTTTCCAGTAGGTTTGTTTCCTCCGGATCCACCTACTGCTCTGCATTTTCACAGCTGCCAGCCCATCTGAAATCACTGTCATTTCCACCTTGGCTATCACAGTAGCCTTCTAACTGGCCTCCTTGCTTTCTGCCTTCTGAGTTTCTTATTTAGTAGTCAGAGTAAGTGAATTTACTGAAACACATTTATGCTACGTAACTTATTCCCTCCATCCTCCCCTCTAAAAAGAAAAATCCTCCTGAATGTCTTCCTGTTGCCACAGGGATGAAACCAAAGTTTTCACCATAACCTGTTAAATCTGACCTGGTTTGTCCTTGCTAGCCAATGTCTCTGGGGAGATATTCAGGTAATTCATGATACTTCATTCTGTGAGAGGCCTTTATGTTTCAGAATCAATCAAGTACATGGTTTATACCCAGAACTCTACCATTAGACCTTAACGTATTTTGTTACTATTTTTATTAACGTTAAACTTTTCTTTTCCTATTTTGATACATAGCAGAACAAAATGGAAATATGTTGGGCAGAAAAGGTATAATAGGAAGTGTGAAAAAGTAGGAATTAGGGAAACTGAAAATTGGTAGGGTTTTTTTTTTTTTTTTTAAAGCATGAAGTGAGATTGAGGATTTGGGGCTAAAGGTAGAAAGAAACATATTTGTTTTCTTCCGCTTAATCTACCTGTTGAAGCATAGGATTGGAAGCAAGGAAGATGATCTAAAGTTCTACTTAGTTTTTGCACAGGGAAATTCAATTGAAGGTTTCCTAAGCAGGATTAATGTGTTTTGTGGGAAATGTGGGAAAAAAACTATTTTAAAAGAGAGAAAAGTACTGAGACGCTATAGGAAATTTATTTAGAACAACAGAGAACATTTTCCAATACTTTTTTTTTTAGCCTATTAATTATTAAGGTGTGTTGTTGTTATTCTTTAGGCACCCAAATGGTACCAGTTACTGAGTAATAAATACACCAAGTTCAAGTCTGAAATACAGATAAGCATTGCTTTGGAAACAGATACAAAGGCACCAGCGGATAGTTTTAAAGCAAAGGGAGCACCCCCTCGAGATGGAAAAGGTTTGTGCATCATCTCTAAGGACATTCTCTGAGACGTTCCATTTTTGAACTAGAACTTTAGGAAGGGGGGCTGTTATAGGGAAATACACACAGGAGTCAAAGCTGATTTTACTCCAGTGCATCAGAGAAATATTGTGACATTGTTACACATGTAACACTTGTTGCTCTTAGCTCTTGTTTACATCTTAGAAATAGGGAAAGCTTTTCTTTCCCCAATTTGACAGCTAGCAGAAAAAAGCAGAATTTTGTATTGTTTTTAAAAATTGCTATTTAGGAAAATTTCCTTCCTAGAACGAGTATAGGAAAGCCTAATATACTTAGGTTGTTCGTTCTTTATTAATTCAGCTGTAGTTTTAACAACCTTCATATTTCTTTTTAAATATTTTTGTGTTCCAATTTTCACTTGGAATGATGAAAATCGGTTGAGATTGGATGAGATGAAAATGATGAAATTGGATGAGATGATCTCCAAAGTCCTTCCACTCTAATATGTTTTGATTACACCTCCTGTGAAAATTGTCCTTTATGTAGAGGATGAAGATAAATTTCTTCTAGAAATCAGAAGCATTTTCAGATAGAAGCAAATAGTGAAGTTGAAGTAGTATAGTTGGTACTATAATATGTTTCAATCAAATTGAATGTAATATCCTGGAATTGTATGTAAAATTAATATTTATAACACTGGTTCTGTGGGCACATATATTCTTAGTTGAGAGCAGTTAATTTGTAAATCAGTGTCTTGTCCCCAAAGTTTAAATGTAAATTGCCTTTTAAGTTGAGATTATAGAAATTGTAGCTCAGAATTTTAATAGAGGCTGTTTTTCCTTCAACTTCTCTGGCCATCTGTTTGTAACCTTTGGATTTTTCTTCCTTTTCTCAACCTTTAAATGTTAGATCTCTTCTCATCTCGTTCTGTATACAGTCTTCCCATGTGATTTTATCTATTCCTGTGGCTTCAGTTAATCTCTTTCTGTGCTGAAGACCCCCACCCAGGCCTTCAGACCCAAATATCCACCTTCCTCCTGGACATCTTCATTTGGATGTGGGTTGTAGGCTCCATAAACTCAAGAGATGGGAAAACTGAACATCAGAGATGTTGTGTTTGCCAAGATGCCATAAGTTCTAAGTGAAGCCAGGATAAGAACCTAGAAGTCAGATTCCAGAGCCTTTATTATTATTATTTTTTTTAGTTAAAATTTTATTTAGAATTTTTTTTTGTTGTGAAACTTGTCAAACTTAGAGAAAAGTTGGAATTATAAAAAATAATTATTTTCCTGTACCATTTGAGAGTAATTTGCCTACCTAATGAAGAGAGGGCAGTTGTGGTTCAGTGGTAGAATTCTTGCCTTCCGTGAGGAGACGCCCAGATTCAATTCCCAGCCGATACACCTCATAGACAGCCACTACCCACCTGTCAGTGGAGGCTTATGTGGTGCTATGATGCTGAACAGGTTTCACTGGAGTGTTCAGACTAAGATGGACTAGCAAGAAAAGCCTGGTGATTTCCTGCTGAAAAATCAGCCAGTGAAAACCCTCTGGATCACAGTGGTCCGATCCACAACACGTCATGGGGATGGCGCAGGACCAGGCCCTGCATTGTGCATGAGTTCACGATGAGTCGGGTTGACTCAATGGCAGCTAACAACAACAGTGTACCTGAATACTTGAAGTGTTTATTCATATAAATAAAGGACATTCTCCTACATAACCATGATACAGCCATCAAAATTGAGAAATTAATGTTGATAATACATTAATGTAACGTTGATGCATTACTACCATCAATCCTATTCAAGTTGCACCAATTGTCCTCATAATACCTTTTATAGCAGAAGTATCTCATTTAGAATGAGGTGTGTGGCATTTGATTTTTATGTCTCTAGATTCTCCTTCACCCTGAAACAATACCTCAGTCTTTTCATGGTCTTCAACTTTGTGAAGATTACAGAACAGTGATTTTCTAGAATGTCTCTTGACTTGGGTTTGTCTGACATTAAACTGAAGTTATGCATTTTTGGCAGAAATCTCACAAAAGTGATACTATGTTCTTCTCATTGCATTCTGTTAGGGGTGAATTATTTTGATTTGTCCTATACTGATGATGTTCATTTTAATCACTTGATTAAGGTGGTGTGTTCCAGTGTTCTCAATTGTACATCTTTTTCCTTCGTAGTTACAGAATCAGTGTTTTATAGGGAGGTGTTGTGAAAATACTCTGTTCCTTATCCAACTGTCAATTTATGCATTTATTTATATCAGTATGGACTGATAGTTTTCTCTTTTTGTTTAGTGGGATACAGTCTGTAACTGTCATTATTTATTTGTCCCACATTTGGCAAGCAGGAGCTTCTTCAAGCTGCTTCTGGTTTATCTTGACTCTCCTGGTCATTCTTTGAGCTTTGTCTTGCTTCCTGATGTAAGATGTTCCAGGCTCATCTTCACTTTCCCTGTCTCAGCCCTGGATTCTGCCATGTCTCCAAGAAGTCCTGCTTCCTTTTAGTAAAGAGTGGTTTTTAGAAGTCAAGATCTGGGTGCTAGGTATGTTCATTGCTGTTGGGTATCGTTGCACTTTTCAGTGGACAAACTTAGGGAATATGTGCATATATGTGTACCCATGCATGTCTGCACATATGTACACATATATACGCATATATATTCACACAATTGTGTATGTACATACATAGCTTTACATCTGTATTTATATTTATCCGTATATACAGAACAGCATGCATTCACGTCGACAATTCCAGTTTCAGTGCTACACCACGAGATTCATTACAGCTTTCTCCCTTTCCATGCATGTGACTCCTTTCCCCAGCGGTGAGAAACCTGCCAGAGCTATTATTCTTAACTGCTAAGTTCTGCTGTCTTACTGTATAATAGCTACCTTTATTAATGTGCTTAATGTTCAGATACTGTGTTCAGCGCTTCACTTTCATTATTTAATCTTCTCAACAGCTGTGTAAGAAGTTCCGTAGGAGAAAAAATGGAGACTAAAGGAAGTTGTGCAATTTTCCGACTCAACTAGTAATTGATAGACCTGAGATTAGAACCTAGGTCTCCCATGACTCAGTAATCTATGCTCATAATCATTATACTGTTTTCAGCCAATGCTGCAAAAAACATGTTCTCTCTTTAGGATTAACTCCTAGAAGAGGGATTGCTTGGTTTTAAGATATGCACATAAAAAATTTTGATAGCTCCGACACATCATCTCCAAAAAGTTGTACTAGTTTATGCCTGCTAATATTGAAAGTGTCCACTTTGCTGCATTCTCCCCAACACTGGGTATGGTCTGTTATTTTAGTTGTATGTGTGTGTTTAACCAGTTTGAAGAACTCAGTCTCTTCACACTGAGCTTATTTGATTGGTTCACTTCTCAAAATTGTTTCATGATTTTCCCTTTTTAGAAAACTAAATGTTTCATCATGGCATGCTAGAAGAACCTTTATGATCTGACTTCTACTTGTCTCTCCCTCCTTACATCTTTCAGTACGTCTGTCTTTGCTCTATGATCCAGCATACTACATCTATTTCAGTTCTCTAACCACATGTGGTTTCTTGCTTCTGAGCCTTTGTACATACTGTTCTTCTGCTTGGAACACTCTTTTCACTCTCCCGTTCTCTATTTAGGCACTTTTCTTTTCTTAGCCAAATCTTGTTGCTTCTTCAGTTCTCAGTTTATATTGACTTCCTTTCAGAAACTTGTGTTGAATGCCTTTTTTATGTGGTTTATTAAATTGAAGTTTTAAAATGATTTATATTGTTTCAGAATTTGGCTCTCACACGTAAAAAGAAAATGTTGGTTAAATAAGGGTTCTTGGGAGAATGTGTAAGCAATTAAAGGAAACTTTACTCAGATGTTAACAGTATCCCCTGGAAACTGCCGAACAAATTGAAATGTAAAATCAGCTTTTAAAAATCTTATGATGGATTATGTCAACTACAATGTAGTTTAATTGTGTTTTACTCTGTTAAGTACCTGCCAGCCTGTCTGGACTTGACCCCAAGGACATTGTGGCAGTGCTGAATGAGGAGGAAGGCTACCATCAGATTGGACCAGCAGAGTATTGTACTGACTCATTCATTATGTCAGTGACCATAGCATTTGCCACCCAGCTGGAGCAGGTGAGACTTTTACTTTTTAGTGATTCGTGAAGAATTTGAAAACTATTTTTAAAAAAACCTTACGTTTACGTATTAAGAAGATGAGTAAGTAGATTTTTTCACTGTTTAAAATTAATTTTGAAAAATGTTTTCTTTCATACCAGAAAACATTTTCACTTAAAGCGGGGGGCAGGGAAAGGACAAACCAGACTTGGATGATCTTGGTACTGGTAGAGGATAAATTAAATCAGTCAGGATTTACAAGAATGACCATCAGTAAATGTTGTTTTCCATTGTACTCTGGCATTGTGAGGACTGGCATGAAAGGGAAGTGTTTTTTTTAAAAGTATTATAATAATTAGCTTTTTAGAGAAATTTGCAATGTTGGGAGCAAACTGTTTCAGTAATGCTTTAATGGGTCTTGGGTCTGGAATTAGGTTTTACCCTATTTATAAGCTAACAAGGTAGCGTGTTACTGTTTCATGGATGCTGGCAGAAGACATGGGATTCTTGGGTTAGAGACAGGGGACTCTATTACTCTTTGCACCACAAACAGCATGAATATCAGCATATTCCCTTCAGTTCCCCTTACCTTCAAGTCCCATGGGGACTACAAGGAAGCACCCAAGTGGTTGCTCACATGTAGTGGGATTGTGTTGCAGCTGTGGAACACTGAACTTGGGGAGTCGAACACGTTTATTGTAAACAGTAAGCAGGCCTGGTCTTTGTCCCAGCGGATGTGTTATCTTATCTGTAAAGGTTTCCAGCTGCATAAAAAACCCTGGGAAATGGCCTGAGTATAAGTCTTAGCATGCTCAGTAAGAATGTGCAAGAAGCTTAAGATCCCGTGGCAGATAATTAACCTGTTGCCCTCAAGTTGATTCTGACTCATAGTGACACTACAGGACAGCCCTGTAGGGTTTCCAAAGCTGTAATCTTTATGGAAACAGACTGCCGCATCTTTTTCCTGCGGAGCGGCTGATGGGTTTGAACCGCCGAGCTTTTGGTTAACACCTGAGCATTTAACCACTGTGCCACCAGGGCTCCTTTGGTAGATAATTAGTGAACCTCATTTTTACTTGACTTGCCAGATTTATCAGGTGAAGATTTTTCTTAGGAAATGTTAATTTGCCACACTGAATTTATGCCTACCAGCAAAGGCACTTTTTATGTATGAGTTCTTTGTGGATTTTCTCTCCCTCTCTTAATTAGGTATTGTCATTCCCTTATTTCTACTTTTTATATGTAGTTTTGTTTTTGTCCATCAGTTTCCTTATTTTTCTTCTCTTCATAAAGCCCTGCGTATAGCTTGCCCCAGCTTAATATGCCATTTTGGTTTGGGCAAAGCCAGATGTCCGCTGTGTTTTTATTTATTAACCACATCTGAACACTGTTGTCCACACTTCAGATAATTAAGAGTCTGCTTTTTTTTTTTAAACTGTATTTTTAACATTTGCAAAGCATTTTAAATTGCTGTTTTATTTTTAGACAGACTTCCAGAGACAGAGTGGCCAAATTGTTAATGTGTATCTGTCACTGTGTTTTATGTTCTGTGTAATAGGCATTGTGCTAAGTACTTTGCATATTTTGAATTTAATCCTACAACAACGTTAGGGGGTAATTATTTCTATTTTAGAGATGAGGAAACTGAGTCTTAGGGAGGTTTTACAGCTAATAAGTGGCCCAGGTGTTTCTGACCGTAGGGCCACATTCCACACTACTATTCCCTGTTGCTTCTAACAGGGTTTGGAATAAGATAGATTTGAGTTGGAATCTCATTCTCAATACTTACTACTCCTTTAACTTAGGCACATTGCTTAACCGTTTTGAGGTTTGCTTTTTCTCAGTTGTATAGTTAGGATATGCCAGCTTTGCAGATATGCATGGGGAATGAGATAGTATAAGTAAAGTACCTAGCACATTCTATTTCTTAGCTTGTATGTGAGAAGTTACACTTGTATAGTAAAAGCTCATTATGGGTAGTTGACCTATTGGATTCACAATTAAAACTAATGTAGTTCTTGGTAATACAGGTTGATTTGTTGGGACGTATTTTTGTGGCAGGCTCTTTGCTATCTCCATTAAAAAGTAAGCTAAGTAGGCCATCTGTCCCTTGATACTGCTTGCTATTTCTTGTTTGCTTATTTTATTCTTTACAGACAAGCCAAAGATTTTAAAAATTAGTTGCTTAATTTTTTCTTCTCAATCAAGGCATAGACATTGTGGGAAAATACCTAGCCATAAATAAGCAGACAAACAAAAACATTATCTCTTCAGGGCAAAACAGTGATTTATAGATGCATGATAATATACACTTGTAGTACCATGGAGGAATGAGTTTGAAGTAGGAAGAGTGAGTGGTGATAATCTTGTTTCCCTCTTTTATTAAATATTGAAAATGAAGGTAAAAAAAAACTTAGTCTCTAAATCCCAGGATAAAAAAGCATTTTTAAAAGAATCTTCTCAAATAATGGGAATTATTGATAATTAAATGTACTATGAAATACATAAGGGTTCTTTATTTATTAAAATTTGTATCTGGTATGGAAGAAAGTAAAAGAAAATGAGTCTCTTTGAATTACACTCCTCAGAAATGATACAGAATGGCTAATAAAAACTTTTTGCCTGGTTTAAGATATCATTAAATGCTGTGGGCTAAGATATTTTTAAAAGAACCTTTTCTCATCTGTCTAGTAAAGCCTCTGATGGCGGTGTAAAGATTAGCTGAAATAAACCAAGAAAACCAAACCCCTTGCTGTCAAGTCGATTCCGACCCATAGCAACCCCGGAGGACAGAGCAGAGCTGCCCCTTAGGGTTTCCAGGGAGCGGTTGGTGGATTCAAAGTGCTGACCTTTTGGTTAGCAGCTGTATCACTTAACCACTGGGCCACCAGGGCTTGGATGAAATAAGTATGTGAAAATAAGGAAAGCTCAATTTAAAATGTTTGACTGGTTTCTTCCCCAAAACACTTCCAGTGTATTTGATTCAAGGACAGGTTGAATGAAGTAAAAAAAAATTTTAAGACAAGCTTAAACTAGTAATTTGTTTACTGGAGATTTAGAAATTTTATTTCGGTGTTAATTTTAAGGACTTCAATACAAAATCATCAAAATTTTGGCAAGTATTTTTGGAGTTCATCAGACATACTAAGTACTTTGAGTGGTTTAGAAAGTAATATTCTTTTCTTTTTCTTGAATGTTTAGTTAATTCCATGTACCATGAAACTTCCAGAAAGACAACCTGAGTTTTTCTTCTACTATACTTTACTGGGAAATGATGTTACAAATGAGCCCTTCAATGATTTGATCAACCCAAACTTTGAGCCAGAGAGAGCATCTGTTCGCATACGCAGCAGTGTGGAAATTCTTCGTATCTACCTGGCTCTTCAGTCTAAACTACAGGTGAGTATTGTAGCAATTTTATTTTTTTAATACATGATTTTTTTAACATTAGAGGTACTTAAATTCTATCCTACTTCAGTAGTGGCGGTGATTTTAACACACTGTCTTTTAATTTTTTAAGGATTGTCCTGGCTCAGTGAAGTCATTGGCATAACAGTTACTTGAATATTTTAGGAAACAGACTTTTTTTCTCTAGCTATTGAGAAAAAAAGAATATTAGTTATTGATCCTTTATAAAATTGTGCCTTGACCCCAGAGCTTTGGGCACAGTCAAGGTTTTCTAGTGCTAGTGGAAATAAAAGCCATTGGCACAGAGTATTCTCAGTAATTAGACTTTGCTTGCATTTTGGGCAGGGGATGGGAGGAGAGGCATTAAGAAATGTTAGTAGAACTAAATTTTAGAGGTGGTTCTGAATCCAGGATATTTAGTAAACTGAAAACTATATAAAATGATGAGAAGCAGGAAATAAGCAGTTTGAATTATTTTATTCTATATGTAGCACATCAGTCCTTACCAAAATGATTGACTTCCTTATTATTTTGATTCTAATGGACATTTAAGTCATAAGAATACTTTCTCTTTGGCCCGTTAAAAATACCACACTGAATAACATTAAAGCTAAGTTACAGATTTCCCTTACCTCTGTCATTGCTGGCATTAGAGGTAAAAATATTTTTGTAGAGTGATTACTTATTGCTTATATTAAGGCTGAGTTTGCCAGAGCTTTACTGTAATAAGGAGAAAGAATAGTATGTAACATATATCTGGAACAGTATCCTGTTGTTGTCAAAAGGTGGTAATGTGGAACTTTTGATTAGCTATCAGTTATTAACAGTACGTTGTGGAATGTACTTTTACTGTTAAACATTCAGTTTTATATATAAAGTCTGAAAGACAAGAAAAGAGAAACATTCAAGGTGTTTTACTGGTGAATAAAAGAAACTTATTTGAAGTTCTGTCATTTCTAAAGTGGGCTTGATACACTGACTTATTTTTTAGAACTGTGTTTAAAATGTTAAATACATTTAACATGTTTTTATTAAAATGGAAATAGAAAAAATGTTTGAGGTATTTCTTTTCTATTTAAACAAAGAGTAATCCACCGTTTTGTTTTCTATTATACTTTTTAAAAAAGTATTCTTAGATATATGGAAGAAAGAAGAATTCAATACTGATTATGTTGTTTTTTTAAATATAATGCCCATGGATAAGTATGGGTATTATTTTAGGAATTTAGTAATTTACCTTTAAAAAAACAAAAATTTTTTTCTTGCTTTTAGTTGTATTTACCATTATTAACCTTTTCGTTATTATTTAACATCCTTATTGAACTTTGTCTTAGGCTGCGTTCTCTAGAGAAGCAAAACCAGTAAAGTGTATAAATATGTATGTAGATGGAAATTATATCAAGGAAACAGCTTACACAGTTGTAGAGGCTAGAATGTCCCAAGTCCGTGGATCAGGGTAGAGGCCTCTCCCAAGTCACACAGCTGCAGAAGCTAGCAAGCCCAAGATTGGAAGGTCGGAGAGCAGGGCTCCCACTCATAGGCTGTGAGATCGACGAATCCCAGGTTCGGCAGAGAAGCTGACAGCTCAAGTCCCGAGAACGGGAGATGAGATGACAGGAAGCAGCCGCAGGATCCAGGGAGAGCAAAAAGCCAGAACGTCTGCTTATATGCAGATGCGGGCCACACCCCCAAGGAGACTCCCTTTCATCTGATTGGCTGCTCACAGTATATTCAATCATGGGAGTGATTACATTAAAATACAGAGAATCATGGCCCAGCCAAGCTGACACACAATCTTAACCATCACAGTCTACCCCTTGTCAACTTGGCACGTGTACACATCTCCTTAAACCATACATAATCTCTGAATAAAGACAATGAGAAAGTCATACTTGCGCCTAACATGATACAACTAACACGTGTACCATCAAAAATGCACTAGCCTCATTTACAGCTTACATTTTATAAGTGAAGGAAACAAAAATATTTGATGCACACGTACAAAGTACAAATACTCATAACAATTACAGTCCCCGTTTCTGCAACTGGTCATGTGGCTGTAACTGGTATTTAGAGCTACCTTCTTCCAACACCCATTCTGTATTTCCTTTGCCCTTTGCAAGCACCTCGGCTGGTTGTGGTTCTTTGCCTGGTGGGGTGACCCAAACTTTCATTCCTGAAGGGTCTGTGTCATTAGTAGTCATGTCAGAATTAGGTTGCTGTAGTTTTCCATTGACTTTAATTACAGGGCATGGTAGTACTAAGAGATGCCTCAAGGAATCTCCTGCATTCCAGACATACTCTTCTTTACCTCCATTATGTAATATCAATCTGATTTCCTTTTGGTAATCAGGATCAGTCACACCAGTCAGTATGGTAACTCCCTTCTTTGCCTGTTGAGCCAGAGGCATAAGGAGCCCAAAGTGGCCAGGTGGCATTCTTAACTTCCAGTTCAATGGAATCAGTGATGTGTCTCCAGGTGGGAGCATGCCTCCCTTTGGAACTAAGACCTCTAGGCCTGCAGAGCATAAGGTCGCGGGGACAGGAAGCAAAAATCTTGCAAGTGGGTCACCAGGGGTAATAGTGAGTGGTGCCACTCCCATTTCCACCCCTTGATTTCTGGACCGGTGAATCCTGGCTACAGGAGAAACAGCACCATATATTGGATGCTGGTTTAAAGCATATACAGCCTCCTGGAGAACATTGCCCCAACCCTGCAAGGTATTGCCAACTAGCTGGTGCCGTAATTGTGTCTTCAGAAGGCCGTTCCATCGTTCTATCAAGCCAGCTGCTTCAGGATGATGGGGAACGTGGTAAGACCAGTGAATTCCATGAGCATGGGCCCACTGCCGCACTTCATTTGCTGTGAAGTGAGTCCCTTGATCTGAGGCAATGCTGTGTGGGATACCACGATGGTGGATAAGGCATTCTGTAAGTCCACGGATGGTAATTTTGACAGAAGCATTGCGTGCAGGGCAGGCAAGTCCATATCCAGAGTAAGTGTCTATTCCAGTAAGTACAAAACGCTGCTCTTTCCATGATGGAAGTGGTCCAATATAATGAACTTGCCACCAGGTTGCTGGCTGATCACCTCGAGGGATGGTGCCATATCGGGGACTCATGTGTTGGTCTCTGCTGCTGGCAGATTAGGCACTCAGCAGAGGCTGTGGCCATGTCAGCCTTGGTGAGTGGAAGTCCACGCTGCTGGGCCTATGCATAACCTCCATCCCTGCCACCATGGCCACTTTGTTCATGAGCCCATTGAGCAATGGCAGGAGTAGTTGGGGAAAGAGGATGACTGGTTTCCACAGAACGCGTCATCCTATCCAGTTGATTGTTAAAATCATCCTCTGCTGAGGTCACCCTTTGGTGAGCATTCACATGAGACACAAATATCTTCACGTCTTTAGCCCATTCAGTGAGTCTATCAACATACCTCTTCCCCATAAATCCTTGTCTCCAATTTTCCAATCATGTTCCTTCCAAGTCCCTGACCATCCATCCAAACCATTGGCCACAGCCCATGAATCAGTATATAATCGCACATCTGGCCATTTCTCCTTCCAAGCAAAGTGAACAACCAGGTGCACTGCTTGAAGTTCTGCCCATTGAGAGGATTTCCCTTCACCACTGTTCTTCAGGGAGGTCCCAGAAAGGGGCTGTAGTGCTGCTGCAGTCCACTTTTGAGTGGTGCCTGCATATTACGCAGAACCATCTCTAAACCAGGCATGAGTTTTCTCTTCCTCAGTCATCTGATCATAAGGAACTCCCCATGAGGCCATAGGTGCAGACTGGGCGATGAAAGGTAATGTGACGGGAGTGGAAACCATGGGCATTTGGGCCACTTCCTCATGCAACTTACTTGTGCCTTCGGGTCCTGGTCGGGCCTGATCTCGAATATACCACTTCCATTTAATGATGGAGTGCTGCTGTGCACGTCCAACTTTATGGTTCTGTGGGTCAGACAACACCCAGTTCATGATGGGCAGCTCAGGCCTCATGGTGACTTGGTGTCCCATGGTTAAGTGTTCAGTCGCTACTAAGGCCCAGTAAGAAGCCAAAAGTTGTTTCTCAAAAGGAGAGTAGTTATCTGCAGAGGATGGCAGAGCTTTGCTCCAAAATGCTAAGGGTCTGTGCTGTGATTCACCAATAGGGGCCTGCCAAAGACTCGAAACAGCATCTCTATCTGCCACTGACACTTCAAGCGCCATTGGATCAGCTGGATCATATGGCCCAAGTGGCAGAGTGGCTTGCACAGCAGCCTGAACCTGTTGCAGAGCCTTTTCTTGTTATGGTCCCCACTCAAAACTAGCAGCTTTTCGAGTCACTTGATAAATAGGCCAGAGTAGCACACCCAAATGAGGAATATGTTGCCTCCAAAATCCAAAGAGGCCTACTAGGGCTTCTGCCTCCTTTTTAGTTGTGGGAGCAGCAAGATGCAATAACTTATCCTTCACTTTAGAGGGAATGTCTCAACATGCCCCACACCACTGGACCCCTAG